AAGAAAGTGTATTCCAGTGAAATGACCAGCTGCTGCTGTGATGTTGGGAGACAAGAAGAAAATGAAAAGTCTCCAGAAACCAAACCCAACATCATGGAAGACTTATTTAAACGACAGAGAATTCAAAATTGCGGTTATGAAGACGCTCAAAGAGCTATACGAGAGCTCAGACAGCTCAATTAGCTCAGGAATTAAACTGATGAACAAAAGGAGTTAATTTACCAAGAGACTAAAAGTGTACAAAGGAATTAAACAAGTTCTGGAGCTGAAGAACTCACTAATGAGATATGCATTAGAGAGCACTGGAAACAGAGCAAACTGGATGGAAGAGGAATTAGTGAGCTCTAAGAAAGAAACCAAGAAATTACCCAGGAGAAAGGAGAGAGTTAAGCAAAATAAGAAGGGAGTTAAGAAAAAAATGAAAGAACTCTACCAAGGGCTATCTGAATCTATTAGAAACAGCAACATAAGGATAGGGGTATACCAGAAGGAGAAGAGAGCCCTGGCCAGGGTGGCTCAGTTGGTTGAGGGTCATCCCATGCACCAAAGGGTTGCCAGTTTGGTTCCTCTTCAGGGCACATGCCCAGGCTGCAGGTTCAGTCCCTGGTTGAGGTACGTGCAGGAGGCAACCAATTGATGTTTCTCTCTCTCCCTCTCCCTAAAATCAATAAAAACATTATTAGAAAAAAAAGAGAAGAGAGAGAGAAGGGAACAGAGAGCCTATAAGAACTTCCCACGCCTATGGAAAGACCTGGAATTTAGAGGAAACTAACTGAACACGTAATTATATCAACACAAAAATATTTTCTCCAAGACACATTTTATTCAAACTGTCAAAAATGAATGATAGCCCTGGCTGGTTTGGCTCAGCGGTTAGAGCGTCAGCCTGCGGTCCACAGAGACCCAGGTTCGGTTCCCACTAAGGGCATGTACCTTGGCTGCAGTTTGTCCCCGGCCCTGGTTGGGTCGTGTGGGTGGCGGCCACTCGATGTGTCCCTTTCACATTGATGTTTCTCTCCCGCTCTCTCCTTCCCACTCTATCTGAGTAAAAAATGGAAAAATGTCCTCAGGTGAGGATAAAAAAAAAAAAAAAAAAAAAGAATGATAAAGAAATAATTCTTGCCCTGGCCAGTTTGGCTTAGCAGTTAGAACATTGGCCTGCGGTCCAGAGAGACCCGGGTTCGGTTCCCGCTAAGGGCATGTACCTTGGTTGCAGTTTGTCCCCGGCCCTGGTTGGGTTGTGCGGGTGGCAGCCACTCGATGTGTCCCTTTCACGTCGATGTTTCTCTCTCTCTCTACCTCCCACTCTATCTGAACAAAAAATGGAAAAATGTCCTTGGGTTTAAAAAAAGAAATAATTCTCAAGGCAGCCAGGGGGGAAGAACTATTACCTACAGAGGAAGCCCCATTAGTCTTTCATCAGATTTTTCAGTAGAAATATTACAAGCCAGGAGAGAGTGAAAGAAAATATTCAAAATAGTAAAAGAGAGGAACCATCAGCCAAGGGTAATGAATCCAGCAAAGTTGTCCTTTAGATATGAAAAACTAAAGGCTTTCCCAGACAAATAAAAGCTGAGAAAAATTACCACCATAAGACCTGCTTGATTGATGTTTTGCTCTCACATTGATGTTTCTCTCTCCCTCTCCCTCTCCATTCCTCTCTCTCTGAAAAAGAATCAATGAAAATATTTAAAACTAAAAAGTTAAAAATAACTATAATTACTGCAGTTTGGTTGCAAATGCACAATATAAAAAGATAATTTATGTCAACAAAATCATAAAAGGGGCCAGGGTAGAGGACTGAATAGGTACAGATAAATGAAGATAAAAGGCAATCAGACGAGAAAGGGCTATTGTATGTATGAGATATTTTACACATACATAATGGCAACCACAAAACAAAACCCAGAGCTGAGACATGAAACATACAAAAAGAGGAAAGGAGAAAAATCAATAAAACACCGAACTAAAAGAATGACAGAATCACAAGGAAAAAGAAACAATGGAGATAGAGAGCAACAGAAAACAAAAGACAAAATAACTGTAGTAAGTCCTCCTATATCAATAGTCATCATATATGTAAGTGGGCTGGAGTCACAACCAAAAGGCACAAAGTAGAGGGATGGATTAAAAAAAAAAAAAAAGACCCAAATATATGTTGCTTGCAGAAAACTCAGCTCCAAAGACAAACATAGGCTCAAAGTGAAGGGGTGGAAGATGATACTCCAAATAAATGACATCCAGAGAAAGGGTGTAGCAGTACCTATATCAAACACAATAGAGTTCAAGATAAAAATGGAAACAAGAGACAAAAATGGACATTTATAATGATAAAGGGGTCAATTCATCAAGAAGATATAACACATCAATATATATGCAGCCAATCTGGAAGCACCAAAATATATAAAGAACTACTAACAGACCTAAAGGGAGAAATTGTCAAAAGTGCAATTATAGTAGGAGACCTGAATACTGACTGACAGCAATAGATGATCATTCAGACAGAAAGTCAATTAGGGAATACTGGCCTTAAATGACACATTAGATCAGAAGGATTTAATTAATATTTATAGAACTTTGCATCCCCAATGACAGAATACACATTTTCCTTAAGTGCACATGGAACATTCTCAAGGACAGACCATATGTCGAGGCACAAAACTATTCTCGATAAATTTAAGAAAAATGAAATGATACCAAGCATTTTTTTAATTTTTAATTTTTCTTAGGTTTATACACTTATTTATTTTTTATTTATTAATTTGTTTTTGTTACAGATGTTTCTCATTTTTCCCTCATTGACACCCTCATCCCCTCCCCCCCTGCCCCATCCCCAGCTTTATTGTCTATGTTCATTGGTCATTCATACATACATGTAAGTTCTGTGGTTTATCTCTTTCCCCCCAACCTCCCTCCTCTGAGGCTTGTCAGTCTGTACCCCATCTCTATGTCTCTAGGTTAATTTTGTTCAGCAGTTTGTTTAGTTCATTATATTCCACAAATGAGATCATGTGATATTTGTCTTTCTCTGTTTGGCTTATTTCACTTAGCATAATACTCTCCAGGTCCTTCCATGCCATCTCAAAGGATAAGAGATCTTTCTTTCTTACAGCTGCATAGTATTCCATTGTGTACATGTACCACAGCTTAATTGACTTACCTACTGATGAACTGCTCCCTTTTCGCCCACAAAGGTTCGTGCCCTGCTATCAGGAGGATGGATACTCCTGGAAGGACGTCTGTCTTTTCTAGTTCATAGGAAGGTGCTATGTAGGCCAGGGAGCCCTGATAAAAGCTGCACGTGCTATGAGAAGGCTGGACTCAGCAGGAGTATTTGTCTTTCCACTGAGAAATCTCTTGTGTCCTTCTGTGCTTTAAGTTTTCAACCTTTTTGAAGAGACCCAATATTATACTTTATCATTTAAGGGCTTAGAGCAGCTCCTTATAGTGCAGTTTTTATTTGGATAATTAAATTCTGCTTTCCCCTAAACCAATATATGTTTTTCTAGGAGATATTGGTATTTGAGAAAAATGATTAAGTGTGTGTCACATGAATTATTCATGGATCATGACCACCTCCACTGTTTCTTGTCCACTTATCAGAAAAATCATTGGAAGGTAGATTAACATAAAACATTTATAAAAACCTGTTTAATAATTTTTTTGATAAGCAATGTAAAAAGGCTGACAGAAATTGCCTTTATACAAAGGTATAAAAAATTTCTGCTTGCTCCTTTACCATTTGAAGGTCTTCTCTAACATATCAGTGCATTTAGAGCCAAATTACTTATCAGTGGTACTTGAGTTTTCAGGTACTTTAGTTATGCAAATGTTATAATGTCCTTAAACTATCTATTAAGCTTCATATAAAGTATCTGCAGCCCTGCCAGTGTGGCTCAGTGGTTGAGCATCGACCCATGCACCAACATCATTGGTTCGATTCCTAGTCAGGGCAGGTTGTGGGCCAAATCCCCCGTGAGGGGCATGCGGGAGGTGACCAATCGATGTTCTCTCTCATCGATGTTTCTCTCTCCCTCTCCTTTCCTTTCTCTCTAAAATCAATAAAGAAAAAAAAATCTGCAAAGGCTCTTTTATCTTAGTACAAATTCTAGCAATAACCACAGATTGAATTAAAAACAATACAGAACAGTCTTGTGGAGGCAAAATCATCTATCCTTGCTGAAAGCAAGTGTTAGAATGGGGGGTGAGCTACAACTTGGAGACTTTGAACAAAGGCTATTTTCTGCATACTTTGTATATGCAGTAGTTAACCCAGGGAATGCTGTTATGAGGTAGTTCAGTATCATTTCCCCCTAATTTACTGGTAACAGAGAATGAATTGAGGGTATTCAACTAAACTCTCAGGAAAATCAAGAGTCTCCGCCCCTAAATGGTTTCTGGATTACTCATGTGATGAATGTGCCGACTCTCTATGGTGCTCTCCCTTTAGGCTCGTGGACAGTTTTCACTGACACAAAGAGCAGTGCTGACAGTGATCTTGCAAGCACAGCACCATTCTCAATTATTCTCCATGGCTAAGCTTTCACCAGAGACCATGCTACTTTGTTCCGAACCTCTCTAAAGATGTCGTAACTTCCCCCTTTATCTTCCCATAGAAATGCAATGTTTGGGCAAGAAAGCAAAAAGGAAAGTAAGGGCCTTGGAAGAATGCAAGGGCTCATGGGCCCTGGGAATGCTTTCTCAAGGCCTTGATAAAGGTTCTTCACAGGGATGCTCATTACTTTAAAAGTACAGTAAAATTCCAGCCCTGGCTGGTTTGCTCAGTGGTTAGAGCATTGGCCTGGGCACCAGAAGTCCTGGGTCTGGTTCCCACTAAGGGCACGTACCTTGGTTGCAGTTTGTCCCCTGCCCCAACCGGGGTCTGTGTGGGTGGCAACCACTCGATGTGTCCCTCTCACATCAATGTTTCTCTGTCTCTTCCCCACTCTCCCCGTCCCACTCTATCTGAAGATAAATGCCAAAATGTCCTCGGATGAGGATAAAAAAAAAAAGTGCAGTGAAATTCCAGAACATTGGCCAAATTCCTAGTCTGACCTAGTATCAAATGGCATGCTACAGCAAAATACATTTCCCTGCAAATAATTTGCCATTAAAAGTGATTCATGTGCCCTGGCCAGTTTGGTTCAGTGGTTGGAGCATCAGCCTGCAGACCAGAGTCCCAGGTTGCCCATAAATAAATAAATAAATAAATGTGATTCATGCCATTTGTGTGGAAATCAAGACCAAATGACAATTTGCTACAGATGGCAAATCTAAATGATAAATGAAACAAATACGTCATTTATTTGACCAACTGAGCAAATGACTGAAGTGGTATTTGACTGATGGAAGGGAAAATGCTACAGCAGAATTATTTTAAGAACTTTAGAATATGCTTTGACATGCATACATTAAAATTCAGAGTAAAAAGAATCTCAGTTTAACAGCTTTGGTTTACTATATCAGGGGTGTGGGAGGGGAGGACAGACTGTGTTTCATATATGCCTGGTTACTGACTTGGTTCTTTCCTCCACAGCAAGGTATACATTAGTGCAAAATTTTAGTACTTAGTACACTATAATAGTATATCTACATAATAGGAATAAAGTTAATACCTCAGTCAATAAGCCAGTAAATCTTATGTTGCATGAATGTGAAATTTTTGCTGCATTGTTCAGGCTATAGTGTTTTTTCTCCAGTTTATGTTTTTCTTTCACATAATGCATTTATTTCCCTTTGATTTAATCTTGGGTATTTTAACATAAGCTATTTTAAGTGTAAACTTTATTCCTAAATAGCTTCAGATTCATTCTATTAGTTAACATAAACAGAGGCAGCCATTAATCCAATTTGGGTAACTATACCTGGATGAGGCCATAGCACTACCTAAGTCGAAGTGTCAGTCAGTTCTACTCATGAAGGCTTCTGATACATGAATACAAAAATACTCTATTTTCAGCTGCTTTCATTTTTCAGGTACTCCCTTGAAAGGGATGTCAAAAAGTATTCAATTAAACAGATGTCAAACTTTCTGTTGGGCTATGATTTGAGGGGGAGATGAGTGGAAATGACTCGTGATGGTCCCATAACTAGAAATCTTTCTGGTAATATGTGAAAGTATAAATTAGCTCCAACAAATTCATTATTCCCTGAATCCTCTGGTGTGAAATTATATACTGTTGTTATTTTCAAAAGCTATTCTGCTTTTACTGAAATGGAACAAGCAGTTACTGAGCACCTACTATTTTGCTTATTATGATGTCCAGTTACTTTGTCTCTGACAAAAGCCACAGATGATTTTATCTCTTCCTCTGTGTTTGTATGTGTATATTTGGAGCTGTTGGCATATTCTGGGCTAGTTTGCTTTGAAGCAGCTTGGAGAAGTCCCATCCAGTTTTTAGCAGTTGGTTGGATTTAAAAAGCATCTCAGAAAGCAGACACAGTGTTCCGGGTCTGCCGGGAGCAGTTCTTTGGTTTCATTTTCTTGAGGGTATTGCTCTGCTCATTCAGCGAAGACTTTGGGTAATAAAACAGAGAGAGTTTCTTTCTAACAGTTCTGTAGAAACTGTACTTTGGTCTCTAGACTTCACTGTCCTTAGGAATTGAACCTGTCCCCTGGCTTGCATTCTTCATGACTGAGGTTATTCTAAAACAAAAACGGTAGGAAAGCTTTCCTATGCTTTGGGTAGGAGGCAAATTTGCTTTTGTAAAATTTGTGGCTGAGGAAAGCCCACAGGGCCTGGCTGAAAAAGACATAGGTTACCACTAGCCACCAAGTGACGTTATGGAATCCAAAGGTGACGGCCAAGGAAATGTAGATCATCAGCTCTGCTAAGTAGTTAGGGGAAGAAACGTATTCAAACCAGTCTCCAAAAGGGATTCGGTGGTTACAGTGAATGACCACTCCTGAAATGAAAAAAGAAAACTTCCTGAACATTTGAAGCTGCGAAAAGAAAGTTTTACAATATCACCATTCAAATCATTTACAAAAGCTCTTCTTTAGAAAAGAGTCGGACAGAGCTGTATGCAAACCACCATCCTGTCTTACTTTTGCTGTCAATCTACCAGGCATTAAAATAACCACATGCTTAGATTACACTACCAACTGTAAATAAGCTCCAGAGGAAAGCCTGGTACGCCAAAGATCCTCCCGGCTAGAAATAAAGAGCTCAGACTCCAAAAAGCCTAGAGAGAGCTCCTCCTCTTCCGCCTCCACTGCATCAGTGGCCTGTGCAGAGCCCTCCTCCGCTATGGACACCCCCTCTCTCTCAGGAGGGTCGGGGGCGAGCGCCTGAGCATTGGGGGGTCTTTGCCCGAGTTCCTGTGTCAAGTGGCCTGACTGCAGGTGCTCCTTGCAGCCCAGCGAGAGAGCAGAGTATGACTGCGGCAGCCAGAGCCATGGCGGGACTGGCCTTTAGAGTTTCCTCGCCTCTCTGACCCACTATGAGTTGAAAGGAGTGCTACAGAAACTGTAACCAAAGGAGGCATTCTGCTTCCAGAAAAATCTCAAGAAAAAGTATTGCCAGCAACAGTGGCATTGTCGGATCAGGTATCAATGGAAAGAGTGGAGAGAGTCAACCAGTTAGTGTGAAAGCTGGAGATAAAGTTCTTCCAGAATATGGAGGCACCCTAGTTCTAGATGACAAGGATTATTTCTTATTTAGAGATGGCGACATTCTTGGAAAGTACGTAGACTGAAATAAATCACTACTGAAATGGCATCGTGTGAAGCTGCCCATTCCAGCGAAGTTCCAAAATCTTTCATCACGTAAGTAATTTCTGTGTCTCTTTTATAATAAACTGATATCCAAACCAATGACATCCAGTGTTTCATAAAATTTATTGTTACATACTAATATAAACATTAAAAAAAAAAGAACTCAGACTCCAGGATGAGACTGCACACGTTCAAATCCTGGCTGTACACATACCAGCTATGTAACTTTCGATAAGCAGCTTAACGTCTCTGTGCCTCAGTTTCCTCATCTGTAAATTGAGGAGGAGACTGTACCCACCTCAGCTGAGTATTGTGAAGCTCTATGTAAAGCAGTCAGAATAGGGTCCGGCACAAAATAAGCACACAATAAACGTTGAATAATACTATTTCATTTTTAATACTTCAAAAAGCTTAGCAAAAACTGTATCTGTGTTAAGTCAACACAAGTTAACTAAAAAGCCAAGTTTTTTGCTTTGGCTGGAATGATACTAACTCAGCATGGTCATCTTTGTGCTCACATACTGGTCAGACACACATACGCAATGCGGGCCCCAAACTGTGGACACAGAATAGAATCATGAATACCAGGACTAGTGGGGCCATGGAAATCTTTTGGTATACTGCTCTCATTTTACAGATGGGAAGATCAAGACCCAGAGAGGTGTCTTATCATAAATGAATATTTGCTACATCTGTCAACTAAGTAGGGCAGGAAGGAAAATGAAGAAACATGGACAACTACCTTCTGAGTGTTAAGATCCACGTGCAGTGGCTCTAAGAGACACACATCTTACCTGCTTTGTTTTTCCTGAGATTGCCGAGAATGACATGGCACTTATACTGATGGGCTGATGACCAGAAGAACATCATCGTTCCAAGGATATGGAACCACCGAGTTTGCATCAGGAGATTTTTCCCGACCACATAGACTACAGAAATAAGAATGATCTTATTAGCCAACACTGCAAAATTTCAGAGGCTTGGGGAATTGAAAAATCACAAGGTCAGCAGAACACAATTATCCACTTACTCTGTTCCTCACGACTATAAAATTATGCTGACAGAATTTCTCAAGCACAGGGGGGAGAACACCAAAGGAGACTTGCTCCTCAGCCAGGGGCAGCTTCAACTTCACAATGATACGTTCTCTTGTTCCTTCTTCAACTGTTTTAAGCACAGAGTTCAGCTCTGTCTCCCATGCTAGTGATGTACTCTTGTGTGGTGAGACAACTTTGCACCTGTTTCTAAGCCTGGATTTATGCCTTCTTTCTTATATTCTACGGTCAAGAAAGCAGTTTCTGAAACCTCTCCCTGGGCTACTGTCCTAAGCCATTGTTAACGAGACCATGAAGGCAGCATGCGGGCTGGATGGGCTCCAGCCAATGAAGAGAACCACAGCAGTGAAGGCTAAGAGTGAGCTACTCAAAAGAGGAGAAATGTAAACTCCAACATAAAAAGCAAATAGTTTCCCTCTCTGATAAGACAGAACCTAGTCAGAAAGAGTTAGTTTTAGGAAAAGAAATACTCAAAGTATTATCTTCCCCTTTCTTCTCCAGCTATCTGGAAGAGAAGAATGTAGGTCTTTTAAGAACTGACATCAGAAAAGCAAATGAAGGACTTCCCTGTGATCAGCAGGAAGCAGTCAGGCTAGTCAGGGACTTGGCTGAAGAAACAAAGTTGTCCATTGACAACAGGGCCCAGCCTGAGGCTCTGGAGCCAAGAGGGAGCCCCTACAGAGCTGATTCAGGTAAGAGAAGCAAGGATCATGCTATTCCATATGGGTACCTGGAAGCTGGACTCGGTGATGACTAACGAGAGTCCACCAAAGTCGACCTGTGTTAATTTCTTCTAAAATCTTGCTCTACATAAACATTCTATTTATAGTCTCTTAATATTTACTTGGTCTAGCCATTTAAAAAGTTATTTTTTTATAAGATAAAAATAAGCAAAATATGAAAAATTCAGTTTTTAATCAAAAAGGTTTTACATGCCCTGGTTGGTTTGGCTCAGCGGTTAGAGTGTAGGCCCATAGACCATGAAGTCTTGGGTTCGATTCTGGTCAAGGGCATGTACTTAGGTTGTGTTCCGGTCCCTGGCCCTGGTCAGGGTCATGCAGGAGGCAACCAGTCGATATGTCGCTCTCACATTGATGTCTCTTTCTCTCTCTCTCTCTCTCTCTCTTTCTCTCTCCCTCCCTCCTTCTTCCTCCCTCTTACTCTATCCGAAATAAATAGAAAAATATCCTCTGGTGAGGATTAAAAAATAAAAAACAAATAAATAAACAAAAGGGCTTTACGAACAAGCCACTATCCTACCTAGTCACCTACTCCAAACACAGAGAAACTACCTGTGAGGGAAAAAGATCTGTAAGAGTAAGTTGGAATAATCATGCAGGAAAGGGGAAGCAGGTGGAAAGCTCATATTTACTGACAGCCTAGTCTGGGTAGTATTTAATTATTCCTTCATTCCCTAGTTACTTAAAGAGTTTCAACTGAGCCCGGCACCGTTGTAGAGAGTGGCTGGGCAGACTCTCTAGACTTGAAGACAAGGAGATGTGAAGATCTGGGTAGTTCACAGATGTTCTCTTCTCTTTCACAGGACCCTCTGAAATCAGTACATCCCTGGTTACAGATGATAGCTGTGAGGCTCAGAGAGGTTCAATGAGCCAGAAATCAGGCGCAGACTCATCTGACTCCCAGCCCATTTCTATCAGACCCTGCAGCTGACCAATGTCCCAGTGTATTCTCTGTCAGTGAATTCCTAAAACCAGTTTTCCCCATGTTGTCCCATATGACCACAGATGACCTCTTGAAGGACAGACAAGTGAAACAAAAGACGACTTCAGAAAGGAGTGTCAGGAGAGCTGTTCCTGTGGGTGCCGTAGCTGCCTGTCCTTTGTTAGTTACACAGGAGGGAGGGCAGCAGGTGGGGCCCAGCCAGCAGAGCAAACTCCAGAAGGCATATGTGACGCCAATGGGAACTAACAGACTGAAAGCTGGTGAGTTAACAAGTGCTTACACAAGTTCCTTTGGGTGGAAAACCCATACTGTTCACAGGATGACAGCTCAAACCATGATACTGGGCAGCACATGAATGCCACAGCAGAGCGCTCAGGGAGGAGGGACCGACGGAAGTTCAAAGGACTTCGATGGAGAGATGCTAGCTGAGTGGCTGGAGCCAATGCATAAGTCATGAATTGAGAAATATCAGCAATAAGATCTACTTGAAAATCATCCCTCAAGCCATACTGAAATCAAACCTGTCAGGAAAGCTCACTCACTGAGGCTTGAAAATATCTAGATCTCGGTCTCAGTTTACAAGGATGAATGTATGAAACCTTGGACTGAGAGACAACAGCCATGAGGAATCTACCCTACAGCGTCCGAGCTGCAAGGTGAAGTTAGCCTCAGCACTAAACATTCATTTCCATCACCCAAAATAACTTGATTCTTTATAGTCGATGTGCACTGTTTTTACAAAAACGATAGTCCTCCTCATAAGCAAATTCACCATTTTGGTTCCCTCTTCCCGGTCAGTGAGCTCAGGAACGTTAAGACACGATCCTGATTTACCGCAGCACTCTGCTGTGCTCCCCTCAGCGGCCTCGCCTACGCAAGAGCTGTGTGATGGAGTGATCACAAGGCCGACACGGCGGCGTAATGCCCCCCACCTCCTCTTCAGATCACAACTAGCGGCCCCGAGTCCAGGCCACCCTAGTTTCCCAGGCCATCCTCTGGGGTTCTATGATTAAACCCTGCGCCACAGTTTCCCCTTCCCCAGCCTCACCCCTACCTTTCCACACAAACAGGATGACTGAACTCTGGTGAAGCAACCGTCTTTGCTGACCTTTCTCTTGTTCTTGGGTGTCCCTGACTTCCTGTCCAGCCCTGGAGCACACTCCTTTCTCTCCAGACTTAGTCCACAGGAGTTCACTGACTTCACTCCCACTGAGGGAAACCCCACATCCCAGTTCTTCATCCTTAAACCGACCCTCCTGAATACTCTGCATTTTGCCATCATTACTGAGGACGCTGCGGACTGGGCAGGTCTACTTTCAAACTTCCATAACACTTGGTGCCTGAAGAGTACCCCGTACCTCCCGTGACTCAGGTACAGTCCCCAGGGACCACTCACCATTCCTGCCGTCCATCGGCACTTGGCTCAGCACAGTGAGGCCGATGATGACATAGTAGACAAGTCCAAAACAGTACTGCATGACGTGTATCGAGGCGTTGGAGAAGACGCTGACGTACAGGCACTCGAACAGTCTTCTCAGGCTGTGCAGCCACAGAAATGCTAATACCAGGAATGCAGACAGCACCAACTCACCCTCTACGATTCAGAAAGCAACATATTCAGCATTCTCTTTTCGGGGTTAATCCAATGTTGTGTCTCTCCTACTGTTACACATAGCATTAAACAGAACTAGAGCTAGGAAAGGGCCCTAGAAAACACCCCGTCTAACACCTTCCCTTTTTTTTTAGCAGGGAAAGTAGACCAAATGAAGTAAAAAAATGTGGCTGGAGGTTATGCAGTAAGCTAGTGACAGAGCTCGGACAAACTCAGTCTCTCCACTCTGCTTCGTCCTGTGAAGGCCTTCCAGATGGCATGGCCATCACTGTGAAGGAGCCTGTGCGCTCGGAAACCAGGGTCTGTGGGTGCCTGGTCCCTGGTACTAGTAATAATAAAGATGGTCAGGAAGAGTCCCTGGATAACCTCTGAGTGACCCCACCTGGTGGGATCCCTGGGGTTGGGGGAGACAAGAGACACAGGCGCCCACATAGGCAGAAAGGGGGATAGGAAGTGAGACAGGGAGAATTATGCATTTCTTTCCATGTTAAAAAGAAGAAATTATACTTTTAGGGGACTGTTATCTCTGAGACCTATCCTCCTATCTGCCTCTCACCCCTCTACCCAAAAGAAGTCAGAAAAAATGCTGGTTTTTAAAATGACATAAAATCTATTTTTAAGTGAATATCTCACACACACACACACACACACACACCATAAAAATACAGCAAGAATACAGTTTAATTAATTGTTACAAACTAAACCAGCCCATCCCACCCATATAACCAGCACTCAGGTCCAGAAACAGAATATAACAGCACCCCTTGTGTTCCCTTCTAGGTACTGCCCCTCCTCTTTCCCTCCCAAAGGTAACCCCTGGCCTGACTTCTATCAGCCTAGATTAGCTTTGCCTGTTTTTGTATTTTAAATATAGTAAAACCTGCTTTAAACTCTTTAGGGATAGGTTAAAACAAATAATCAAATAAAACTCCTGACAACCAACCAGAACCCCAGTCAACCCCACAAAAACAAATGAAGAAATGAAAGATTCAAATATCATATGATTCCACTTACATGTGGAATCTAAAGAACAAAATAATTGAACAAACAAAACAGAAAGAGACTCACAGATACAGAGAACAGACTGATGGTTGCCAGAGGGTAGGGGGTTTGGGGGACTGGGTGAAAAAGGTAAGAAGTACAAATTGGCCCTGGTCAGTGTGGCTCAGTTGATTGGGCACTGTCCTGTGCAAGGTTGCCAGTTCAATTCCCAGTCAGGGCACAGAGCTCAATCTCTGTAGGGGGCGTGCAGGAGGTAGCCCGATGTTTTGCTCCCACATCAACATTTTTCTCTCTCTCCCTCTTCCTTCCTCTCTCTCTCTAAAAATCAATAATAATAATAATAAAAGAAGTAAAAATTGGTAGTTACAGAATAGTCATGGGGATGTAAAGTACAGCACAGGGATTACAGTCAATAATATTGTAATAACTATGTATGGTGCCAGGTGGGTACTAGAAATATTAGGGGGATCACTTTGTAAAGTACATGATTGTCTAACCACTATGTTGCACACCTGAAACTAATACAAAATAATATTGAATGTAAACTTTAATTGAAAAATAAAATTTAAAGTGCTTTAAAAAAATTATCAGAAAAACAAAACAAAACAAATGAAAAGATGAAGTTTGAATGCGTGGTGAAATGGGACTTGGGAGGTACCCTCCTTTCCCAAACAGGATTTACACAGGCTGTCCCTCTGATTGTCATAATTCACAACAGACTAGGACTGTTCCCAGGGAGCCAGTGGTTTGGCTGCTGGATCAGAGAGAGCACCAGAACAATTTGTTTCTAATTCTGCCCTTCCCCCACTGCCTGGCATTAACTGGGGCTACTTTGTTTTCACCTTCAATTCCTTCTTTTAAAATTATTCTTTATCTGAGGTGAATTTAATGTCTGTTTTGTAATCACTTGGTCAATAACTATTTACAGTCAATTTTATCATGAAACCAAAGCCTTATGGCATTACATCTTTAACCGGTGATCAAAAAGTGATCTTTTAAATCACATTTCTGGAGTTCTGAGACATGATTTTGGTTGGACTATATAAATGATAAATGTTTCAAGGCAAACACGAGGGACTCCTAAAAGCTTTTCCCCTAAGTCTAAAGACTTCCGTGTAAATGTATCAGATTTCAGAGGGAGAACATCCAGTGCCATACACAGCCCAGCACTTGCTCGGAAGTCAGGGACAAGAGCTAACTCTCAGCTCTGCCAAGACCGCAGCAAAGGACGTGGGCACCTCCCCTGGGGATGGCTATGAACCCCGCAGAACGCATCTGCTCTCCCCTGCTGAGGAGGAGCCTGAGCGTGGCCAGGACATTCCGAGAACAGCTTCCTGCAGGCAGGAAAGCAGGAACAGGATGTGATTACCTGGGGACTGCGCAGCCCCGAGATTTCTGAGTAGAGTGTGAAGCCAGTTTGGAAACGGCGATCCCAGGAACAGAGACTGAGTAAGGCACCAGAGCAGGAAGCCGTTCCACAGCACCGAGATGATGTAGAAGTGAGAGAAGTACCTGCGAAGGGGAGCACGTTAGGCCATCAGCACAGAGCCCTCCATTAGCAGGAAGCTGCCTTTAGTGTCCTTCTCTTTCCCCAGCCTCTAAGTCTAGTTACTCTTTTTAATAGAACCTGAATCCCACAGGTGTTCGGATTTCAAAAAGCTCCTTTCAAACGATGGGATGAGTTAACGCAAAGGAAAAAGAGGCCTCCTAAGGTTAACCAGAATATGACTGACCCTGTCAATCTTAGATTGAGGTTCAATTCGCAAGCTCTCTTATCTCTGGGTAAATGGATTGGGCTCAAGTTCCAAAATAGGGGGTCCCAGGTCCTGGCAGAGAACCTCGATTGTGCTAACACAAGCCAAAGCTGTGAAAGATTTCCAAATCCCGAGCAGTGTCGCTGCAATAGCCATACAACTGTTACACAGATTTGCACAATTACAGGCTCTTGGGCTGTAAGAAACCTTAGAGGTCTTCTGGTGCAGAGTTTTTCTAAATTATATTGACCTAAATTACTTAGATGACAACTATTAACTCATAAAACTAGGTACCAACTCCTGACAATTATAGCTCTCATACAACTACATTGCCTATTTTTCAATCAAGACAGCTACAAATGAAATACAAATAAAACCACAAAACCAATCATAATTGCAATTAGCAATGTTAATTTGATGTGAAAGATGATGTTGATTTGTTGAAATGAAATCACTTAATATGGCTCAAGGGCCTAACAGGTTCTTTTGAACCTTTTTGAAACATACTGTTTTTTCTCTATTCAAACCAATTCAGTTATTCTGACTTTGCAAGGTGCCTGGTCATTTGGCCTTCCTGGTCTTCAGTGCATCGTGTATATAGTAAATCCCCCTCCCTCTTGTCTCATTAGACTGTAGCAAAGTAAGATGACCTGGAGTCAGGAGGATTAGATATAAACAAAGGGGACTCCTCTTCCAGATTATCTAGAATATTCTCGTACCAGAACTCACAGTACACCCAGACCATGCCCACACCCCAGTGTCACTAACACTGATCTAATGCGATCACTGCATAGTAACTCAACTACCGTCACAAGTTCTATTGCTGGCTCTGCCCTCTCTGGGCCATCCTATTCCTCATTCTGATCTTCCTTCTCCAGGCTCAAGAGCTTATTTTCTTCAAAAGTTCATACATCAGTGTTAATTCCACAATCTCATTCCATCCTCCAGGCTGCTGGCCTTTGGTTGCCTTCCAGTGTTCTCCTTAAGACACACTTCCTAGCCCTGGCTGGGTAGCTCAGTTGGTTAGAGCGCCGTCCAGATACGTCAAGGTTGCAGGTTCGATCTCCAGTCAGGACACATACAAGAAGCAACCAATGAATGTATAAATAAGTGGAACAACAAATCAACGTTGCTCGCTCGCTCTCTCTCCAAATCAATTAAAGAAAAAAAAAGACACACTTCCTAGAAGTGAGCCCAGGTCTGGTCTGAGCGCGGGAGCAGAGCAGAATGTCAGCAGTACCTTGTTCCGGAGGCTTCTGAAGAAAGGAGAGCTGCTCCCGAACAGCAGCTCCTGGACCAGCCTCTTGACCTACTTCATTTTTTTCCACAAATAATTACTGAGCACTTAAAACATGCCAGGCAACATTGTTGCTAGAGCTGGGGACTCAGCAGGAAACCTTCAGACCAGGTCCCTGCCTTGATGAAGTTCCTCTTTCAGTGGTCAGCCACAAATGAACCTGTGGGCATCTTGGTAATGCTGGGTGAGGGGAAAGACAGGGCACAGAGGGGAGGCCATTCTGGACAGGTGGCCAAGGATGGCCTCTCTCAAAGTCTCATTTGGCTAGAACGAGTAACTCTTGTGAATTTGAGGGGGAAGAATTTTCTAGGCAGAGGAAGTGATACCCACAAAGGCCCTGAGGAGCAATGAAGGACACCTGTGTGGAGAGGGTGAGCCGGTGAGGGGGAGGGCGCACATGCTGCAGGGTCTGGTAAGGACACTGTCTTTTGTTAAGTGTGAAGGGCAGCCATTTGAGTAGTGACCTGAGTAGTCATTTATGTTTTAAAAATCCACCTGGCTAATAGAAAAGTTCTGGAACCAATAGTGGTGATGCTTATATAAATATGTGAATGCATTTTAAACCTACTAAGCTGTACATTCAGAAAGGATTAAACTGGCCTGGCTGGTGTGGCTCAGTGGTTGAGCGTCAACCCATGCACCACCACGAGGTCACCGGTTCGATTAAAAAAATGACAATCTAGGAATGCCCCTGCTATAAAGTAGGAAAGGACACAGTACAAACACACCTGATAAAAAATTGAATGGCAGGTAATATTCATGTAAAAAGAGCCTTTAAGAACTTCGAGCTTTGGCGCCCCTCCGGGAGTAGCCCTTAGCATTTCCCTTAGCGTGCCACCCACCCAGGTGGGTCACCTTTTACCTTCCTCACTTCTAAGCTCCAAGGGCCCTTCCTTTGCCTCTATTACTTGTTTTCTAAGCCCATTTCTTCTACAAATTATTTTTCTTCTACCTCTGTGATTTTTCTAAATCAATGGTCTCTTATGTAAAACAAAACAAAAAAACTAGGAGGTTTAATCAACTTGTCTTGAATACTTTTTCCCAGGGCCTCATTCCCTTTACCGTTACTCAGAATGATTGAATTCTTCCTTCTCAGTGTAACACCCAATGTATCCTCTCCAACACTCAAAAGTAGGGAATTTAACCACGTTTCAGAAGCAAAGTTACACGTAGCCCCCTTGTCTGCGGACCTCAGGCACTGCCTATGGGAGGCTTAAGCGATAACCCAGGTGTTTTAATACACTGGAAACCATATCACATTCCTCCAGATTCCTTCCTAAATGCCAATTTAAGACGCTTCGTAAAGCTTTAAAAAAAAAAAAAAGCTGAGAGCATTTGGATTTTGCTTCCTGTCAATGTCATTGGTTTGGCTCGAATAAACTCTTATACATTTTTTAGAAAATGTTTGGCTGACTCTTACCCGCTATGTTCTGAATTCAAAGTAAAAAAAAAAAAAAGCAACACACAGAAAACTATACTATATCAAGTCTTACATTTTCTAAAAGAATTCCATTTAAGCCCTGCCCGGTTTGGCTCAGGGGTTAGAGCATCGGCCTGCGGTCCGGAGAGACCCGGGTTCGGTTCCCGCTAAGGGCATGTACCTGGTTGCAGTTTGTCCCCGGCCCTGGTTGGTCGTGCGGGTGGCAGCCACTCAATGTGCCTCTTTCACGTCGATGTCTCTCTCTCTCTCTCTCTCTCTCTCTCTCTCTCTCTCTCTCTCTATCTCTCTCTTCCTCTCTCTCCCTCCCACTCTATCTGTGCAAAAAAATGGAAAAATGTCCTCGGGTGAGGATAAAAAAACAGAACAAAACAAAAATTCCATTTAAGCCCAAACATTTGTTTCATTGATTTTGGTTACAAAATCTGTTAGAAGTCAAATGGAATTTCGGAATCAGGCTTGTCTAACATTTGCCATCATGGGCACTTTCCTCCAGGGGCACCTGTCGAGGGGCGGTTTAGGAGGGTCAGGGCAGCGGAAGACGGTGGCATCTAGTGTGGGGACCAGCATCTCACCCTTTGTCCTGACTGCGAGGGTTGAGGATCAGGGAGAGACATGGGGGAAACAGAGGCGCAGAGGGCGAGCCTGCCTTCATTTCTAGTGATTTCAGGGGACCTCAAGTTAGACTATGAGCCCCTAGAGTGCGGGGGGAGGAGGAGAATTTGGAGACAAAGGAGACTTTAATTTGCTTCCTGGTGACCAGGTCTAAATTCAGGAGCACTGCCGTTTCCTCCTAGGGAAGAACTCCGTGGGGTTACCAGTTCACGTTCCTGTGCCCTTGATACTGTGCGCGGCTCAGCTCTTCGATGTCGGCGGACACTCGGGACATTCCAACCCCAGGGTCACCAGGCGGCCGCGCGCAGTGCTCGGAGACCGGCCTAGGCTGCGCTGCTCCAGAGAACCCGCTCGGGTGGGCCGGGCCTAGTCCACGCGGCCCCGCGCCCGCCCCTGCTGCCCCCTGCCGGCTGCACGAGCCGGCGCCCCGGCTCTCCGCGCTTTCGCCACCAGGACTCACGCCCGGGTCGCAGTTACCTCTTGGGGACGTCAAAGCTCCGGCAGATAGCCGGGCGTGACTTGGTTTTGCCATAACGGATCAGGTCCTGGAAGATCGCGCAGCTGGGGAGCAAGCCAGGCGGCACGAGCTGCAGCAGCAGGGCCAGCAGGAAAGCGGCGGTTAGTGTGAGCCACACCGCGCGCACCGGGCTCAGCACCGAGAGCGCAGCCCCGAGCGAGGGAACCATGGCGGTCGCGCTCCCGCGGCCAGCGCTGGACCCGCCCTCGCGGCCCGCGCTCTAGTCTCGGGCAGGCGGGGCCTTGGTGACGCGACGCGAGGCGGAAGGCGCCCTCCCCGGGGGACGGGCCAGGCTGGGCAAAGGGATCCCGGGATCCTGCCTGTCTAGCGCTCTGCGGTCGCTTTCTGACCGGAATCTGACTCAGAGAGCCTCGGATGGAGCCCCAGAATACATTCAAATAAGCCGAACTAACAAGACTACGTGCCTGCAAGTCTTCATCGCCTCGTTATTTTTAATAATGAAAAAATGGCCCTGGCCGGTTTGGCTCAGCGGTTAGAGCGTCGGCCTGCGGTCCTGAGAGACCCGGGTTCGGTTCCCGCTAAGGGCACGTACCTCGGTTGCAGTTTGTCCCCGGCCCTGGTTGGTCGTGCGGGTGGCAGCCACTCGATGTGTCCCTTTCACGTCGATGTTTCTCTCTCTCTCTCTGTTCCTCTCTCTCCCTCCCACTCTACCTGAACAAAAAATGGAAAAATGTCCTCGGGTGAGGATAAAAAAAAAAAAAAAAAAAAAGAAAAAATGGAAGCAACCCTGACTGTTCCACCTTAGGGTATTTAGCTAAATCATGGTACTAGAACACGTTGGAATAACATGCAGTCATTAACATGATAATTATGAAGACTGTAGAAACGCGGAAAGCTGTTTATGACAACTGAAAAAAAGCTGACTATAAAATACATAGCTATGATCGCAAATGACTATATTAATACGAATGTGTGTATAAATGGATGAAAAAGGCAGGTCATACTGTTGTAGCTCACTGTCCTTAGAATCCAACTTGTCTTTAAGCTGCCCAAATTAACCACCCCAGAGACAGCAAGATGAACAATGGGGAATGTTATAGACGGCTTTTGCCCCATAAAAATTAACCAGAGTTTGACCTTCACTGGGAATTTGAAAAGCAACATCCTTCAGGAAAAGGGAGGACAGAAACAGCCCCAAGGCCAGAGTGTCCTGCATGCTCTGTAAAGAAACTGATAGGGAGAAACTGAAGCTCCCTTTACCCCCATAAAACTGTAACTGTTAAACATGTGTGTATTGCACCTGACTGACCGCTGATATCCGTCTCGAATTTGTTAGTTTTTAAAACTTGGATAATGGAATGAATAGCAGGACAGGTGTATGCTGACCCAGTTCACCCAGTTCCCTTTCACCTCAGCTCCCTCCCACCTCCGTTCCCTCCTGCTTATCACTAACTGCCTACGCTTCTGTACATGCAGCTTGCTTGCTCTGCTAAACTCTTGAATGACCCCTGCCCTATATAAGCAACCCTCCTCCTGAGCTCGGGGCTGCAGTTCTCCTCTGTGTAGGTTGGCTGCAGTCCCTGCACAGGTAATAAAACATCCCCCAAAACTGAAAAATTGAGTCTGAGTGTGGTCCATCTCCTGGGTTACAACAATACACAAAATGAATAGGATGTTGGGAATGTGTATAATCTAAAAATGCAAAGTAGGAAATCAAGGCAGTTTCAAATAACACGAAAATGAAAGTGGTAAAACTGGATTAAAAAACATTAATGTTCTCCCTACTAGGGCTCCATTCCCCAGAGACAAAGTTTTGTTTTGCATATGGCATAATCTTCGTTTTTCCCAATTTTTATTAATTTATTTTTGTTACAGATGTTTCTCCTCTTCCCCCCCCCCCCAGCATTGTTGTCTATGTCCATTGGTTATGCATACATGCATATAAGTTCTTTGGTTTATCTCATACACACATACACACACACACACACACACACACACACACCACATCAGCAGGTGTGGTTTCATAACTTACATTTAAGTCTTTTATCCATTTTGAGTTTATTCTTGTGTATGGTATAAGTTGGTGATCTAGTTTCATTTTTTTGCATGTAGCTGTCCAGTTTTCCCAACATCATTTATTGAAGAGACTGTCTTTTCTCCATTGTATGCTCTTGCTATCTTTGTCAAATATTAGTTGAGTATAATGTCTTGGGTCAATTTCCAGGTTCTCTGTTCTGTTCCATTGATCTATATGACTGTTTTTGTGCCAGCACCAGGCTGTTTTGATTACAATGGCTTTGTAGTATAACCTGATATCTGGTATTGTGGTCCCTCCTACTTTATCCTTCTTTTTCAAGATTGCTGTGGCTATTTGGGGTCTTTTTTTGGTTCCATATAAACTTTTGAAGTATTTGTTCTAGTTCTAAGAAATATGTTGTTGGTATTTAGTGGGGATTGTGCTGGATCTATAGATTGCTTTGGATAGTATGGACATTTTAATGATGTTAATTCTTCCAATCCACGAACAAGGTATGTGCTTCCACTTTTTTATATCTTTCTCTATTTCTTTTTTCAATGACCTGTAGTTTCTGCAAATAGGTCCTTTACTTCTTTGGTTAAGTTTATTCCTAGGTATCTTAATTTTTTGCCGCAATGGTAAATGGGATTTCTTTGTAGTTTCCCTTTCTGAGTTCATTATTGGTATATAAGAATGCTGTTGATTTCTTTTTTTTTAATTAATTTATTTTTGTTACAGATATTTTTCCTTTTTTCCCCATTGACACCCTCCTACCCAAATCCCCCCACCCCATCCCCAGCTTTGTTGTAAATGTCCATCGGTTATGTGTACATGCATATAAGTTCTGTGGCTTATCTCTTCTCTCCCCCCACCCCTTCTTCTGAGGGTTGTCAGTCTGTACCCTACTTCTATGTCACTGGGTCTACCCTGTTCCTCAGACTGTTATGTTCATAATATTCCACTAATAAGTGAGATCATGTGATATTTGTCTTTGTCTGCTTGGCTTGTTTTTTTTATTTTTTTTATGTTTTTTTTAATTTTTTTTTTATTTTCTTATCCTCACCGGAGGATATTTTTCCATTTTTTGTTCAGGTAGAATGGGAGGGAGAGAGAGGAAGGGAGAGAGTGAGAGAAACATCGATGTGAAAGGGACACATCGAGTGGCTGCCACCCGCACGACCAACCAGGGCCGGGGACAAACTGCAACCGAAGTACGTGCCCTTAGCGGGAACCGAACCCGGGTCTCTCCGGACCGCAGGCCGACGCTTTAACCGCTGAGCCAAATTGGCCAGGGCTGCTTGGCTTGTTTTGCTTAGGATAATGCTCTCCAGGTCCCTCCATGTCGTCTCAAAGGATAAGAGATCTTTCTTACAGCTGCATAGTACTCCATTGTGTATATGTACCACAACTTCTTTATCCATTCGTCGACTGATAGACACCTGGGCTGTTGCCAGATTGTAGCTACGTATTGTAAATAATGCTACTATGAACATAGGGGTACATATATTCTTTCTGATTGGTGTTTCAGGCTTCTTAGGGTATATTTCTAGAAATGGGATCACTGGGTCAAATGGCAATTCAATTTTTAATTTTTTGAAGTAACACCATGGTGTTTTCCATAGTGGCTGCACCAGTCTGCATGCTCACCAGCAGTGTACTAGAGTCCTCTTTTGAATTGTTTTTTTTTTTCTTCTGATCTCTATGTCATTTATTTCTGCTCTGATCTTTACTATTTCTTTCCTTCTACTTGTTCTGGGGTTTTCTTTTTGTTTGCTTTCTAGTTCTTTAAGTTGTGAGTTAATTGGAAATTTTTCTTGTTTCTTGAGGTAGGCCTGTAGTGCTATGAACTTCCCTCTCAGAACTGCTTTTGCTACATCCCATAGATTTTGTTGTGTGTTCATTTTCATTGGTTTCCAGGAAGTTTTTAATTTCTTCCTTGATCTCCTTGGTAACCCATTCATTGTTTAATAACATGTTATTTAGCCTCTATGTATTCAAATGTCTGGGTGTTCTTGTTACAATTGATTTCTGGTTTCATGCCATTGTGATCTGAGAAGATGCTTAATATGATTTCAATCTTCTTGAACTTATAGAGACTTAGTTTGTGTCCTAACATGTGGTTTATCTTTGAGAATGTCCCATGTGCACTGGAGAAGAATGTGAATTCTACAGTTTTGGGGTGTAATTCTCTGTAGATATCTATTAAATCCATTTGGTCTAGTGCACCATTTAGAGTCTCTGTTTCCTTGTTAATTTTTTGTCTAGAGGATCTATCCAGTGATGTCAGTGGGGCGTTAAAGTCCCCTGCAATGATTGTATTGCTGTTGATTTCTCCTTTGAAGTCCTCCAGAAGTTTTAAAACATATTTTGGTACTCCTATACTGGGTGCATATATGTTTACCAAGGTTATATCTTCCTGTTGGATAGATCCTTTCAATATTATGTAGTGACCTTCTTTGTCTTTAGTTATGGCTTTCATTTTGAAATCTATTTTTATCAGATATGAGTATTGCTACCCCAGCATTTTTTTTTCTTTCTGTTTGCTTGGAAGATTTTTTTCATCCCTTCACAGTTCTCTTTAGCTGTATTCCTGTTTTTTGTTTGTTTGTTTGTTTTAAATTGTTTTTTCTTTTTAGTTTTCTGATTGGGTGATTTTTTTCTGTCCCTCCATTGCCACATTTCTAATTCACTGATCCGGTCCTCAGCTCCCTCTACTCTGCTGGTTATTCCTTTCAATGTGTTCTTTATTTCTGCTACATCATTCTTCATTTCCAATTGGTTGGTTTCCAATGTTTCTATATCTTTACTCATAGTGTTGAGTTCTTTACTCATGCTGTGGAGCTTCCTCATTATCATTATTTTGAACTCTACCTCTGATAAATTGCTTAACTGCATTTCATTTATCTGGTCTTCAGTAGAAGTCTCTTGTTCTTTCATTTGGGATTTGTTTGTTTCAACATTTTGGCTTTCTCAGTGGGTTTTGGAACCTGCCAAGTTTTCTCTGTGGGTGTTTGTGTTCCACCGATTGTAGCTCCCTCTACTGAGTTTGGATGAGTATGGGAGGACCCACATTAAATGCAACTGTCGACTCTTACTTTCCTGGGCAGATTTGCAAGCCCTGGAAATGTTTAGTTATCCTCTAGCTTTTTTCCTGGAAGCTATTAGTCTTAGTTACTTGATGAGCCTTGGGTTGTAGCCCT